TTCCTCAGACAGCATTTTGCTTTCTTGCATTTCTTTTTCTTTGGGATGGTTTTAGTTGCTGCCTCTTGTACAGTGTTGTGAACCTCCGTCCATAGTTCTTCAGGCACTCTGTCTATCAGTTCTAATTCCTTAAATCTATTTGTCACCTCTACTGTATATTCATCAGGGATATGATTTAGGTCACACTTGAGTGGCTTAGTGCTTTTCCCTAGTTTCTTCAATTTAAGCCTAAATTTTGCAACCAGAAGCTCATGATCTGAGCCACAGTCAGCTCCTGGTCTAATTTTTAGTGACTGTATAGAGCTTCTCCATCTTTGTCTGCAGATCACATAGTCAGTCTAATTTCTGTGTTGACCGTCTGGTGATGTCCATGTATAGAGTCATCTCTTGGGTTGTTGGAAAAGAGTGTTTGCTATGACCATCGAATTCTCTTGACAAAATTCTACCAGCCTGTGCCCTGCTTCCATGGCAACCCACTCCAGTATCTTTTCCATGAAAACCCCATGGACAGTAGGTTCCTGAAGGGAAGGCTAATCCAGGGGAATGCTAAGAGTGCATTTTGCTCTTGCTGACCATGTGCACTTCTCAATTATTAGGAAAGCTTATCTGTCCTTGCTATAGTTTTGGGTTGCTGGTTGACAGAATTGGGATCCATTTGCTGGACTGACAAATGTGGAACCTTTATTTTTGTCTTAGCAAAGTCATTTGTTTATCTGTATATAGCTTTGTGTTTTGAGTGACTATGTTGATTTGCTGTTTTTGGTAACAAAGCTGGTGCTTTGGTATCATGGGCAGGGAACCTTCATGAGATGGTCCCTTTTATTGCCCTGAGGTCACACAGTCCATATGGACCAGTTATCAAATGCATCTTCAGGTTCATGGCTACAGATCGCACAATTGGCTCATGCTATCATTCGCTACTTGTTCCTCTCAGTTTACCCAGCAGTCAGGCTGAGTTGATTATCTGTGCTAGACATTGGGCTGGCAACAATACTACAGAGTTCCTGCCTACTTGACACCAAAGTCATGGAACCTGCAAGCAGTAGGTTACAACCTGTTTCAACTCAACTCAGTGTGTATCTGCTGCACTGTCTTTTCCCTTGGCAAATGAGCATGGCTTGAAATATTTGCAAGGAAATAATGATGGAACTGGAAACTCCTAGTTCAGAGATGAAGTCACTGTCGGAGGCAAAAAACAGTGGTTTGACGCTGTGGCAAGATCTAACTTGCATAACAAACCCCACAAGTTTTCTGGCTATACAAGGAGTTAACACAAATTGAGTTTTCCTGAAACTTTTTCTCTCGATACTTTACTAGGCCAGTCTATTTGATGGCATCCTTGCATTGTGGCAAGTTGCCCTGGCGTAGGCAGACTTTTGGTTCCTTTCTATTATGATTTCATTCTGTCAATGAATTTGCCTGTCTCAGAAGAAGATGCATATATTATTTAAATAAGTGTCAGAGTTTCAATATAGTCTGTTTTACTGTATTTATGTACTTTATCCATAAAAGCCTCAGTTCTTGTAGTAGACCATCTTTTGCATCTTCTATCAATCTTTTCAACCATTTTTATGTTGTCTTGTGACAAAAAGGTAAAAAGGAACATTGATTCATTGGTGAACAAGACTTCATGTCATGAAATCCTAATGTTCTACATCTTTCATATCCTCCAATTCTACTCCATATTTTCTGCTGATTGCTGAAATTGTACACCTTTAGGAAAAATTAAGTCTTGCATTAAAAAAACCCTATTTCTGAAATAATATTATAGTTTTGGTTTGGGGGTACATAGCTTTTTTGTAGTTCCTTAATTTCAGTCATTGGCATGGCAGTTATATAATTAGTAGTGTCTCAAAGAGTCACATTTATCAAAGGCATGTTTTACAATGGTGATAATGTGATATACTGGGGCGGCCAAATGTTATATACCAGGGTGGCTCATGCAGCTTTCTGAGTTTATTTCACTGCTCACAGAGGGTTTTGAACCACCCATCCCCCACACCCCTGTCTAGATTCCAGTGATGGCATGGACATAATTTCAGCAATCTCTTTGATCAGGTCTCAAAATGGACCGCCTTGCCTGAGCAATGTCCAAGCAGATACCTCTGACAAAGTGCAGAAAGTACAAACCTGCACAATGATCCACAGGTCCCCCAAATAGCATTCCCACCCTTTGGTTTGGTTTGACAGCTATAAAGATGAGCTGTCAAGACAAATCAAATGGATAACTGAATCTGGGCTTTCCCAAAATGATTGTGGGATTTATACCTCTTTCACAGCAAGAGCTATGAAAACAATGATGTATCTAGGACTGAATGTATATATCCCTTTGAAATAAACATGGAGAGCCCTGTTTAAAAATAAAACTCTTTAAAATGATAACAGTTATCATATTGACAAATAACAGTATGCTGGTTCCTTTTAAAAGGGTGTTGGGGGGGGGGTCACACTTTTCCATCTTCCTGAGCACCTACAATCTCAGGAAGTAGTGGGAAAATGAAAGCTACCTTAAGGCAGCCCCCCCCCCCAAACTAAAGAAGTCTATGCCCCTGCCACTCCCTTTTCATAAGCACAGATCACTCATACTTTTGTAGCTCACCTTCTGACAGCTGTCAAACCAAAGGGTGAATATAAACCTGATTAGACCTGTCAAAACATTTTAAAATGAAGGCTTAGTTTTGATGAATTTCAAAAGTTCATGTTTCTATTAATGGAGTGGATTCCACTTTTCTAAGCATCTAGAGTCTTGGGAAAAGATGGAAGAGGGGGAGGACACTGAGAATAGTCAGGACCTGGTCCCTCAAAACATGAGAGTCTCATTCCAAATGGAGAGGTACACAGGCTACCTCCTTGCCAACTAAGATCCCTTTGTAGCTTTGCGTTCACTTGACAGTTTACTGACATCTGTCAGGGCAAAGCAATATACCCCATTAATATATTTGTAGCTTTTTTTAATAAATGGTTTTTGTTGGTGTCACCTGTGCTTTGATAGGAGGCACTTTCCAGGGAATTGATGAGGCAAACCTTTTAATTTTGGTCACCCGAAGCACACACTTTTGAAAGCAACCCCCCTTTTTTTTGGACAGAGGTATTTGCACAAATTCCTGGCACAAATGGTGGTGCACCAGTGAACATCTCCAGTCTGCTACAATATATCAGGGGCTGTTAGTGGAGAGTTTCTAAAAAATTAGTAAAGATTTCTGGAAAAAAAGGGAGTGGGAAACCACAGTAAGTGCAAAAGGTCTTGAAACCAAAGTGCGGAGAGCAGTCAAGATGCGTCTTACTGTGGAGTTCCCTGGAACTCTTGTTGGGTGGGGGGGACTGAGGTGGAAGGAGGGGGAACAACTCTTGGTAAAGACTGCTTGGAGTTGTTTCATGCACAGCCCACATTGCCTAGAGTACTTGCAGGATGGGTTGCCCTGTCATGTGAACTCCTCCATTTTCTTATACTGCAATCAAATGAGTATGAATTAGAGTGTTTGTATAAATAAGTCTTGGAAAAAACTCTTAAAAATGCAAATTTATAAATCATATAAATAACATTTATACTATTATACTATTTAATAATATCTGCCTGAAAATCTGAAATTTAAAATATGAAAATCATATACCAAGTCAGGAAAGAAAGATAAATTAAGTATGAGACTCCATAGCACGGTAGACTAACTTCCACACTTAATGTTACCTGCCTCAAATGATATAAATATAAATATATTTCCCCACCGAGTGGGGAAAGCTTTACTATGGGATACCCTCACTCTCAGCAAAGATTAGAATTCCTCACAGGAACAAACAAGAACAAACAGCACCATGCCTTCCACTCCTGTATGGGCAACTAAGCAAACCTGTGGAAGAAAACCTGACTAGATGCTGAACTGGCTAGTACAGCTCATGTAGTATTTTAATTCTACAACTCATTCCCTTGCATTTTATTTTCTTTAAGCAAGGTGTGTGAGAGAATATCTCAGACTGAAGCTTTGCTCCACTGGTTTCTTTTTGTAAGTTTCCATTTTTCTCTCCTGATTTGTGTCAATTCTTTTTTCATGCAGAGTAAATGAGAGAAATGCTATGAATTTGGTACAGTGTAGTTCTTTGTGACAAAGAAAATGAGCCATTTTATTTTTTTATGAAGTGAAAGTATTCAGGAAAAGCTTTGTATGAAGATACTTTGGAATAACTATGTTTGAAAAGAGGAAGAGGCTAGTTGGACAGTTGCAGTTTTTAGGAAACAGTAAATTGCTGGGTGATTTCACATGACCCAAGAATTCATCTTGGCAATATGCCAGGGTGCATTGGTTATTGTGTGAACAGCACATGGCATTTTCAGCATGCAACTGAGCTCATTGCTATTTGTTCTCGCCCCCCTTTCCTCTTCATTGTCCTACAGATATATCAGGGGACCCCACAGCAGGGCAGTCTCGTCCTGCCACTCCAATTGTGCACTGATTTTAGCTTGTCACAGCTCTTTTCCCCGAGATTGATATATCTGGTTGAACAGTTGACTTTTAGAATCTGTTTTGACAGCCACTGACAGTCTCTTCAAAGTGCCTGAGAGGCACACTGGTAGGTTGTCAGAGGTTGGCAAACTGTTTTTTTTTTTAAGTATAGCTAGTATGTGCACATATTTTCATTTATTTTTTAAAATTACTGCACTGGAGCAACTGCACAGGAACCTTGAGCATTGGACAAGGTTGCTGGGGGTTCCTGCTGTCAGAGTACAGCAGGTACCAGTCCTGGATATTAATTCAGAGAGGTTCTAATTAGGGCTATTCTTCCCTTTGCTTTCTTTTGACAGTTGCTGAAAGGAAAGGTTAGGATTAAAACCCTCTTTTTCTTTTGGGCTCAGACAGTCCTCAAGACGGCGCATTTTGCACTTCTCCCCAAGGACCTTCCATTCTCTATCAAATATGGTTTTGGCAGGCCAGTAGATGATCTCTGACTGTTACATATGACTCCTATAATGACAATTATATTGATTTTTTTTTGTTTTTGTTTTTTAGATCACACAGGAGGCAGGAGAATTCATGATCACTTTCCCATATGGATACCATGCAGGATTTAATCATGGTTTCAACTGTGCAGAATCAACAAATTTTGCATCAATTAGATGGATTGATTATGGAAAAGTAGCTAAATTGGTAAGTCAAAGTATATTACTAATTGAAAACTGTTGGTTAGAATTTTTTAAAAGGAAGTTGAGAATTTAAATATGCCAGTATGATAAAAGTGCAGAACTGAAATTTTGCAAAGCTTTTCAGATGATCATGATTTTAATAGTGCTGACTATAAAATGGATTACTGGGGACTTGAAGCTTCAAGAGTAGTGCTAGATGGATAATTCATAGTTTAATTTTACCATTGTATAGGGTTCCCTTATCCCATGAATGTAATCCTATACATGTCTACAAAGAAATAAGTCCCAATGAATACTAGGTATAGGATTGCAGCCTTTGTGTCCACATTATGAGAACTTCACATTTAGTCCAACTAATGGCATATCTTGACAACTTTTCTAAGCGTTTCAGTACCTCAAACATATAAGATAAATAACATTGTGTGGTCTATGTTTAAGAGAGGTGTATCTTCTATACATTGTAGGAATTTTTATAACCTTACTATAGTATTTTGTCAGATGTTTCATGCCAGGGGTATTATCTAACAATGAACTAGATATATTGGATTGATACATTATTATCTAATAATAACAGAAATAATAGGTAGTGAATTACCCCTGTATCTCCTAGTTGTACTACTTCAAAAAACTAAAAGCATAATAATGGAAAATAACATTGGATGCTCATTGGGGATAAGCTCATGAGAGCTAGGAAAATGGTTGCTAATAACTGGAAACAATAAACTCACCTATCAGTTGAAGAGTAGCATAGAAAGCTATGTCAGAGAACCCTTTGCAAACTAACCCATTATACATTAGTTTCAGAGTGCAATTAAATAATATAAAATTCTGCTGCTGGAAGGCTGTCATCTGTTTCCCTGATACAGAAACAAAATGAAACCCCATGAACATGAGAGATGAGCTTTTTGAATGTTGTACAAAGAAGTAATTGTTCATTTTAGGGTTTCATATATGGCATTTGTTTGGCATGTGGTTACTTTTGTTTTTTCCAGTCACTTTAATGAGTGTTATATATGAGTTATATATATTTGTATGCATGCATATATGTATTTTTGTAGTAATTTTAAAATTTCCAATACAATATGATTCAAAAATAAAATGAAATACAGCAGTGTTTTTCAAACTTCCTAACATCAGGAATTCCTTTCTAAATCGCCTGCGAAGGAAAACTTAGTTTCTGGAAGTATTTTAGAGTGTATGTTTATTTCATGCAGGCTGCCCCTGAGGCCTGTCGTTCCATATAAGCTAAGAATGCACACAAGAGTATACCTAGCATCCCTGCAAGGAAAGAGCAAGAGAAATTTGTCCTGTATCAGCTGTTACCAGGCAGTTACAAGATCTGAGGAACAAGCCCTTGATACAAATTTGCACCTGGTAATTTAAATGCAAATGTGCACATTTAGAATTACTAGAATATATTTATCTTTGAAATATGTAAAAAAAAATAGCAGTTAACTAAAGGAACCTCTGAGGAAATATTTAGGGGATGTTTTTATCTTACCTTTCCCTTGCACTCACACTTAGTGATATACCTATCCCCCACAGATTAAAGCTTCAGCATTCTCTTTTAACAATTAAGCAGTGAGCAAACCTGTTTCACGTAAAATACTACCAGGTTGAATCAACCTTTTTTTTCTCCATGCAATTCCTCATTTTTTCTTCCTCCAATAAGTGTGCATAAAACTTATCATTTTTATTATCTTGCTCTTCTCAACTATCACATTGTTATGGGCAAGTTCTCTGTTTTCCATGTAATTTAATTTGTGCCAAGATTTTGCCAAGGAATCTGTTTTCCGTGCCATTGTTCTAGAATATGGGAAAGGACCTCTGAGCATGTACCCAATATCTCTTCCTTAGGACTGAAGCTAGAGACCATGCAAAACAAAGGAAAACAAATGATGTAACATATATAGGATTGAGGTAAAAGTGTACTAATTCAGAAGAGTGGAATGAGGAGGGTAGTTTATTAAGCCTGCAGTACCATGTTCACAACTCAGGACTTCTGAGTAAACATGCAGAGGATAAGGCTGTAAATCTCACTCAAAAAGTAACTGGGAAGCAATTCTATGCACATTTGCCTGGGAGTGTGCCCCACCAAGCACAATAAATAGAGCCACTGTGACATAGACATTACAGGGCTGAACTTGAGAGACCTGGGTTCTAGTTGCCATTTGCCTTGAAGCACCTTGGGTGACTTAGGGTCAAATGAGAATTCTCCGCCTAACCTACCACACAGCTATTGCACTAAAGAGTGGGCATCCCTATTCTGTGTCCTTCTACATTAACATCAATCTGCCTGCCAGGTGCATGTGAGTTGGTGCTGTGCCACAGGTAACCTGTGTGACTTTCCTGCTGTCCTAACTCATTTGGTATCTTTCTGCCTCACAAATTAATTTTATGAAGTTTCTGTTGCTGAACTTTAGTTTGTCAAACTGGGTCTAAAAAACAGAAAAGACTGGATTTTAACATTTGAAAGAGAGGCAGATGGGACATTTCTTTATAGTTCTGTGGATGTTATTATTTACCTAATGAACTTTATATTCATTTTAGTTAGCTGGAGAGACATCTTTCTGTAGACAGCATTTTGAGTTATTTTACTTGAGTGCATTTTGTTAATGTTGGTAAAACAGATGAACCAGTGACAATTGTGTTGCAAGTTTTGCTGGGGCCTCTTTAAATTTGTGCTGAGTGTGCAATATTTATGCTGAACTAGGAGCTATATGCAGACATTAATACTGCTGAACATAAATGTGTACATAGTGTTTGTATTCCTCTAACGTTCTTAGCAAGTAGAAGTTTCCTTAGAAGTAGTTCCATTAAAAACAACAAAATGTTCTACTGCATAGGTAGAAAAAGAAGCTTTTGAGATAATTACTGTTCCATGACTTATTCACTGTTTTAAGCTGTCATTTGCTTGCTTGCTTGCTTGATGTATGTTCATCTGCAATCAGTTTTCAATAGGGGGCCAAACGAAATTATCCACAGAGTAAAATGCCAGCAAAATTGACTCAACTCACTGATCCACACCGATCATGAGGAATAAGCCTCTTCAGGCCCTTCTCTCAATGTGAATATCTATAGGTTTAGTAGGATCTTTCCTTGTTACTTTTTTGTTTGTTTGTTTGCAGATGGGGGTTAGCAGCTGAGGCGCTTATGAGAAACCTTTCTCAGTTTGAAAGTGTAGGGTAGTATTCACTAGTGTTAACACTGTTGCTTAATTCAACGCAATACTTGTGCAATACAATTAGCATTTGCTAGAGCAATGGAAAAAAAGAGATTTCTCACTGAAATTCATGCTGTGGCACAATTGGCAATGTCAAACTTCAGCTGCAAATCATCCCTTTCTCTTATTGTTAATGCTAAGGCACAGTTGGATGCTACTGCTGTGTAGTATTTTGTATTGTCCTTTGCTAAGCACGTATATAATGTCTATACCCTGGAGTTAGAGGATGTCATCAGTCTATTTTAAGAATTTGAATTAGAATTTTGTGACAATTTGCTTATGTCAGAACTAGCTGCTTTCTCATCTCTAGCTATGGTAGCATTTTTATTATTCTTAGTTCAATCCTGACCTTAACAAGGAGGAAAAGAGGAACTAAAAATCTATGACAAAGGAATTAGATGAAAAGCTCAACAAATATGTCAAATTCAGTCTGAAATAAGACAAAAAAGACAACTGTATCAATATATTGTTCCTTATGCAGTTCAAGACAGATCGCTTTATCAAAGGAAACTAGTAAAGTACATTACACAAAATTAATACATCAGAAGTTTGCATATGCTAAGGACAGTCCTGCAAATATATACTCATTTCTAAATCCCATAGTTGTACTATATTTTGTATAGTTGCTCTGAATTCTGAATAGCTAATTTGTAACATAAATATAGTCTATTTAAAAATAGCCATATAGCAATACATGCATACTCGATTGGTATCACTCTGCTGATGGAATGCTATTTAATGCTGTGTCTTGAGCCAATGCAAGCTTTCATCAGCAGATCAAGCAGGGAAGCTTTGTGTGTGTGTGTGATTCCCCTTACCCCTGCACCTCATTTTCAAGCAGAGCCTAATTTAGTGGGAATGTATCATGATACACATAGAGAGGAAATGGCCAAAATCACCTTGTCACTACATTCTTCTGAGGAAAGCCTTTTCTGGGTAGAAGAAGAGTTGAAACTTGTATCTTCATTTGTTGCAGTGGTCAGGAGTGCCTTTTATCAGATTTCACTGGTATGTCAGTGGCACACCTGGTCTGGAAAAGCTAACCAGGCTAGACTTATCCTTAGGCTATTTGCATCCAAATTTGGCTATATTGGGCAGTATCTTACACTGTTGCCCCACCTCCACTGGTTCTCTTGTGCAAGCAGAACTGAACACTTGCATTGCAGGAATGCATGGTATCAAAATAATCCTGGAAATGAGTGGCAATGTTCATTTCTAGAACAGTGTAACTCAGTGGAGCTCCCTTCTGTGAACTCTGATGACCTGCCCCATTATGGAACCAGTGATTCAACTTTGAAAATACATCACAATCTGTAACTTTTCTATATTATTATTATTGAATTGTCATCATCACCATCACCATCACCACCACCACATTGCATTTATATCCCCTTTTTTTTTCTCTTGCAAGGAACCCAGAGCAGTTTAGAAAATTCTGCTCCTCTCCATGTTATCCTCACAACAGCCCTGTGAAATAGGTTAGGCTGAGAGGCAGTGACTAGTCTTAAATTGACTATCAGAGACTCTAACACTAAGCCAGTCATAGAAAGAACGTAAGGTACTGTTACCATCCTAAATAACTAAAATCATTTTCAGTATTATCCCATTGCTTCAAAATGTCATGCAAATCTAAATTATCTACACTGAAAATTATCTTCAGTGAACCCAATATACAAATTCACTATTTTTGGTGCCATAGGAAGTCTCATAATGGCTCCTTTTATCTGCCACCAAAATGAAACATAAAAAGCAAAATGTACAGATAAAGCTGTTTTAGTTAA